ACCATGGCTGATGGGTGGACAGGTTTCTGGAGAGTTTGCAAAACGTAAACCCAAACGTTATAATCTTCTCCTCTGTTTTGCTTCATAGATTCCACGCACTCACACGCACAAACGTAAACAAGGGGCAGATTGTGATCTGAAGGTTTCCAGTGCCTTCATTTCCCGAGTTGCAATCTCCCTTATTGATCGAGTGTCCAGTGTTGCAAATTAATAATATGATGTGGGGGTTGTGGGGGTGAATGACTGAAGGACACACAGGTCTCTTCGAGAGAGAATCTCAATAAGTGGGAACAACATTAAACCCAAGACATCTATCCTGTGTGTGTATATATATATATATACATACATACACACACGCACACACACACACACTGAGACACACACACACACAGACACACAGACAGAAACAATTTGGGTGAGATTTGGGTGTGTTTTCAGAACCAAAATCAATCAATCAATCAATAAATCAGTAAATAAAATCCCGAAATAGTTAAGAGGTTTGGGTAGAAGTGCGCCCTGCCCTTTAACACCTTGGTGTGTTGCTACTGTAAGCGGACAAGCGTTTAGATGTGTTGTACCAATCCACCCACAGGCTAAGGAACCTCAGCACTGTCTGTCACACGAGTAACTTAAGCCCAGAGCATGTCACCCCCCCCCACCTTCACTTCCCTAGACAGTCGTTTGAAATATTATATTACCGTGGACTTTCATTTGGACATTCAGAACTGGATGGGAAGCTGGTGAGAAAGAGAGAGAAACTCCCATGTCACTGACTGCTTCAACCCTCCCCTCTCTCTCCTCCCTTGCAATAAACACCACCGTTTATATATATATATACACACACACACACACAGCACAAAGCAGAGGAGACCAGGAAGTCTGCGCCACATTCCCACTAAATCTGCGCCCCTTGTCCAGGAAAGAGGAGGATGTTAGGACTCCCTAAGCCTTGCTCTGCGAGTGAGGTTATCCTAGAGCTAACAGCAGATACTGTCAGTTATTCCCTCTCTTACTTTGTGGGTTTCTGATGCCTTCAGATGCAAGGTTTTTAGAGAGGCAAATTCAAATCCACTCATGATGATAACAGCGTGGAGTCCTGTAGCTCAGTGGTTAGAGTACTCGTCTTGCGAGCGAGACACCTGGGTTCAATTCCAGGCAGAGGGCGAAACCTTGGGTAAGTTTCCTTACTCCACACGGCTAATAATAATCCCTCCAAAAAAATAATAAGTTGGTCATTTTCAATCCACGCCTCTTTATGGGACGCTGCCGTGTTTCGCCCACAAATATACGGTCAATTCACTTTACAGTCTATTCTGTGAAGCTCTTTGAGACGTCGAGAAGACGTGAAAAGCGCTATGTCAAATGCAAGGATTATTATTATTATAATACTAATAATCCTTTTATTTTGATATAACACCTTATCTCGTCTTCGAGTGGATTGAGTGACCAAATTATTATTATTATTTTGTGAGTAAATGTTTATCGGATCTCAGTGGTGTCGCTGATATAGACCAGAATATTTCTGTTCGAGAAGATCTAGAAACCTACATGAACAAGAGTTTTACTGACAATCCTATCTTTACCCTTGGACTGAAATAGCATTCCCTGAAGATGCCAGCAGAAAATGGGACTTGCTTTTCGCTACCCTCATTCGCTCAAAACATCCTCANTTTTTTTTTGAACATGCAGAGGAAACTAATGCATGGACAACATTTGAAATGAGTAATTTAGTGCTGAAGTGATCTCTGGTTGCACCGGTTTGCACTGACCCTGGAGAGGTATAAACATGCTGGAATAGAGAGCAGAAACCTAGCAGAATATCTTCAGAACGTGGCAAGTCAACAAGACCTGAAGACCTGGGTTCAGGGTTGGAAGCGCAAAGTTAGGACTGGCACTCGGAAGTGTTTCTTTACACAGTGTTTTTCCAGCCAAAGTGGTTATCAGACAGGGTGGTGGAGGCCTGGACAGTGCACTCATTTAATAAAAAGCTGTAACAGCAATATTGCATTTGACATAACATCTATAATGCCTCAAAGCACTTGACAGAGTTGTTGCAAAATGTAAGTGACTTGTGAATTTCTAAGTGAATTCAGCAGAAGGGAATTTCTCCTGGTGTTCCAGCTAACAATCACCCAGATACAATTATTTGATTCATGGTTTTCATGGGTCATTGCTGTGTTCAAATTGACTGCAAAGTTTGCCTATGAAATATACAGTCACTACACATTACAGTACGTTCTGTGAAGCGGTTTGAGACTTCTCGACGACGTATAAGGCGCTATATTAAAGGCAAAGGAATATTATTAATAATATTATTATTATTTACCACTGTTTTTATCACTTACCCTAATGTGACAGTGGACATTTTCCATAAAGAGAGATGAAATCAAAAGGATATACAGTTACTTAATACTTACCTAAGTATATGTTGATCAGGGATTGAACTACAAATACTTATGTGGAGTTATATAGATTTTATAGACTCGTAGGTCCATCACTGCCCCAAAGTTGACCTTTAATTGCATTTGTAGCTCTAATTCATTCCATGCATTTTGTTATTTACGACACATAGCAAATTAAATATTGCATTGTTTCAGAAATAAATGATTTTTATGTTATGACATTATCACATGAAATAGATCGGACCTCTGAAGTTTTGGCCTTTGATCTCATTTATACCTAGTTTTTAATCACAAGTGCTGTCATACTGGATCAATGAGTCAACTCAGCTCAGTCGGTTGCATTCTTGCCTCAGGAACAGAAGGTTGTGGGTTCAAGCCTTGGGTCACGACTTTGAGCTTACAGTCCAGGTGCAGTATTCAATTGTCAGGAGACAATACAACAATACAATATAAACTTATGCAATTAAAGTGCTTTTTATGTCAGGAGGATATCCAAGGCACTGGACAGACCAGGGTTTGCACTTGAGCTGG